TGAAAAAAGGATATATATAGATAGATATGAATGAGTCTTGCTCCTTGTATGACTTGATGAACCAAAATACAAACAACAACAGATCCAAGAGACTGTACGGGTGTCTATTTTCTTCACCACATTTCCTTGGTATACACACAACACATATTCCCAATCAGTAAAAATCCATCCGATCCCATTACATACAACCAATATGAAAAGAGTGAGGAGGTGCTACTTGAGCGTGCTGTAGCGGTTGGTGCCATGCTTGGCCCAGTGGTCCTTGAGGTCAAGGGGTGCCGAGAAGTCGTAACCCTCTGCCGCCAGTCGATTGAGCAGCTTCCCAAAGGCACCCCCACTCATCTTCCTTCCCCCGACCCTTGAGTAGCGCTTGTTCGCTACCTGGGGCAGCGGGTACATTGAGATTGCCGTGGTGCAGCATGCCGACTGCCACCCGCCGTTTCCCCACCTGTAGCACGGCTGCGGAGACCCCGTGCACGTGCACACTGGCACAGGCATGGCCGACTCGTCGAAGTTTATTTGATTCAGCCCCAAGTTGTCCTTCCAAGACTCACCCCCTTCACTCCCGAAACCCTGCTCTTCTTCCTCATCCCAATTACAAACCGAAGCAGAGTTGCTCCTCTTGCCAGCAGCCCTCTTCGCCCGCTTCCCTCTCCTGTGCTGTGGCTTAGGGCTCTCGTCTACAGCAGCCGCTGCTGCTTCTGTGCTGCTGTGGTGCAAGCGGATGGCTTCGTCCCGCTCCTGAATGGCCACGTTGCGCTCGGCGATGGCGGCATCCCGCTGGTGGAGGGCCATATCACGCTCCGCAAACGCGCGCTTGCGCTCCTCCAGGGCCATGTTGCGCTCGCGGATCGCGGCATCCCGCTCAGCCGTGATGGTCACAAACGTCTTTATGGTCAGGTGGTTGTGCTCCTTTTCCGGTTACAAAAAAGGGAAACCCCATTGTCAGAAGTTTATTTCTATTTCAATCTAAATTCGGACATGCCGCTGTTTATATGTAACCTTGGAACCAATCGTTCGTGTATATAAGCAGAAATTTGGAAAAGTGAGATCCAGAATAACAGATCTGGTGCTATCTAGAAATAAGAGTGTTATGTACTTTACCATCAATAAGAACAGCGTTTAATCTAGAAATCCATCCCAGAAGTTGAATTCCCTGCAGGCGAAACCAAATTTATCAGGCATCAGCAAGGACATGCAACAGATTCCGGATCATTTGGTACTTTGATTCCAGAATTATATCCTGAATAGATTTTTTTGGAAGATAAAGTATTTATTTTAACTATCCAAGGAAATGGCAAAATTAGAAAGAAAGAGTTATAAATGTGCTTTTTTTCAAATAGAAGTTCATATAACCTCCACTGGAAAAATATATTGTACAATAATGCAGAGTTAAGTAAAAAAAAAAAAGAAGATATAACCAACACAGCATGAGCAGGGTATTATCTTCAGAGAGAAAGAGTTTAAATTCTTACTCGTATGCGCAACTGAAGAATTTATAGATCACAGTTATAGAAGGGATTATTGGGAGGATCTGACGGGGACTTGAGCTCTGTCTACAATAAACCTATCATGAATTGTCAACACAAATCATATAATGAATTAATATCATCGAACCGATACACCACATAATTAGCAGTTTCTGATTAAGGACCTCAAGAACACTACATATGTTATAAACCTAACATATAAAAAACAAGAAGGCAAGGATATTTCACAATAACATATCTTGTCCTGATCTAAGTCAATCGTACAATAGTTTAGATGGTGTAAATTGAGCATCAAATAGATAAAAATTCTCACTCAATTCTCAAGACTCATCCTCAACTTGGTGCCACCCTATGAAAAGCTCCAGACAGACTTGTTTATAGTAAAAGGCCAGGTGGCTTATCAGTAAATGAAATTTGATACTCTTCTAACATTGACAAGACATCTGGAATCTTATATCGATTGCGTTCGTTAAAGGTGATTCAAAAAACCAACTAAGATAAGCCCGGATGCCCAAAAACCATAAAACAAACCATACAACAGTTAACTGGTCATTGAGCCCTTGCTGCAGTTTACACATTTACTCTAAGAAAGACAGGAGTTTCCTATGGAATAACAAGTCTGTACCAACTAACAACCGCTCTCCGCTCTGTTCCCAAAACAATTACTTGTCTGTTCAATTTCTTTCCTAGAAGCTTCAGTCGGTTTACATACTGTGATGACTAGATGGCCATCTGTTGCATTTTAGCAAAGCAAAACAGTTGGATAGATTTCATATTTCACATAATAGACACAGATTACCAAATAGGCAGTTGACAACAGAACTTGTCGTCCAGAAGAAGACACCGGAGCATACAAAAATGCCAACCGAAAGAAAAGGAAAACCGACCCAAATGCTGATGCAGCTACTTTTTAGCTTAGAAACTGTCTCCTGAGTTCTCTACTTCCTACTAGGTCATTTCATTACAACATATAGAACGATAATTAAATCCAAAAGCTAAAATAACAAATCGAAAAGCTAATACTGCAAGAATGAAACCAGAATGCCCATCAAATAAATTCTAAGGTTAAGCAATTAAATGTTTGTGCACGTCCAAGTTTCTCAAATTTACATTGAGCACAACTAATCAGCAGCTACCAGAATTTTTCATGAGCTGAAAACGGAGATCAGGAATTAGGATGAGAGCCTACGCGAATTGACAAGGAAAGATCAACAAAATAAAAACTGAATTGAAATGGTGGATCAACGAATGCGGGCAATAACAAGGATTAACCGACCAGATCGAAACTAGGAGAAAAAATGAATCTCAAAAAAGAGAAAGAACAAGATAAGAGAAACGACAAACCCATCGCAAAAAATTGGAGCATACCAGACACAGATTTTCCGGCGACGAAATTTTCAGAACACGGAAGTGGCAGGTGACTCTCCTCTCTCCTTCCCCCTTTCCTCTTGTCGGAGAGAAGAGAGTTTTTAGTGTGGTTTTGTTTGTAGACCGAGTTGCAGGAGATGCAATAATATAAAGATGCCTCTTTGCCAAATTGTGCTTTATTTTCTCTTTTTCCTTTATTTTTTTTTTTCTTTTTTATAATTATTTTTTGGGGTTTTGTTCATGTGAGGTGAAAATTTGATTGGTGGCGTTAATGGGGGGAAGGGGTGAGCATGGGTCGGTATAGTTTAGAGATTGAGAAATCACAAAAATTGTACCAAATTTGAAGATCACTAAGTCTGATATCCAGAGTCGTATAAAAAAGAGGGACAGTTCGATTTGGAGATTTTTATTTTTTGGTTCGGTTCGATTCGCTTCGGTTCGATATTCGGGATTATTGGAACGGTTCGATTTGAATTTCCCGAGATTTCTTATTGTGTTAATTTTTTTTTGAATGAGTGTCTAGTTGTATTTTATTTTGTATATGCTTTAAGAAAACCAACATTCATCAATACTTCATCATATTAAAGATTATGTTTTGAAATCAACTTTAGAAGTAACTCTAAATTTATTTAAGACTAAATTTGTGCAACTAACACTGAAAAATTAAAATTCTAAATAGAGTAATATATTTTTTTCTTAAAAAATATTTTTTTAACCTTTCATGCCATTTAAAATATAAGATAGAATAAAACTAAGAAAAGCATCGACAAATTTAAATAACGATTAAATATATCTTTTTAAAATAGTTCTTTACCCTTTCATACCATTTTAAATTATTTTTTATAACCAAAAATATCAATTATAGATCAAGTATTACTAAACGTGAAATTTAGGTGAAGTTTAATTGGTATTTCTATATTTTATTTATATTTTAAAATTTCTCAAATTATAGAGGATCGAAGTTGACATAAATATTTTAATAACACCACATCCAATGTTATACTTCGGTTCTTCGATTTCGTACTGTATGGTACAGTTTGGTTCGATTCTCGGTACGAATATTTGTGAAATCTCCAAAACCGTACCAATTATTTTTTGGTTCGGTCCGGTTCGAAGAAAGTCAAACTGTCAACGGTTATTTTTAGGTTTGGAGTGATATCAGTTCGGTTCTCAAAATGATTCAGAATTCTCTGTGTCCCATGTTCAACCCTACATGAATAGTTCTCCATTTGTTTTCCTTTGAATAATGAAAGAACTCTAATAAAACATTTAAAAAGAACAAAGTTCGAATACAAGTTAGGAATGGCCGAAAAATGCCAAAAATTTTGAGAGAACCACTTAAGTGACATAGCAACAGCAATAGTCAAAGACTGAATGCATAATAAGAAACCCAAAGTTGCAAGCAATACAACAACAACAACAACAACAACAACAACAACAAGCAAAAAGACCTAGCCACTGATTAACAAGACCTAGCTAGGACTTTTAAACCTCATCAACCAGCAAGCTAGAAGCGTATCAGAATCTTGCCACTCTTGAACAACAATCTTATTGCTTGTTCAGTTATCCAAACTCCTTCAAACACCCAAAGGTTGCTGGCCCTCCAAACCCACCATAGGATATATTTGGTAAGTTGTATCCTGACTTCAAAAACCTCAGTTTTGTCCCACGAACAAACCTGCCACCACCAATTTTTTAAGTTGCATTGGTCTGCCATTAGTGAGAGGTGTCAACATCCGTACTCTCTTTGCCTCGTTACATTTGAAAAACAAGTGTTCCACTGTTTTTTCAACCTCCCCATAGCTTCTGCAGATCACATCTATTTCCATCCATTTAGCTCTCATATTCATGTGCACTAGAAGGTTCTTAGAAAAATACTTCCGTATGAAGTGTTCCAACTTCCCTTTAACCCTTGTTGTACCTAAAACCATCCGAACACAACGCTCTCTAATAGAAGAATTTCAAAATATTGAAAAAGGCCCACAAAATGCACAACGCCCTCGCAGACGGCCCAAGATTGTAGGGTTAGGTTTGTTCATCCCTTGATTGACTTTCTATGACCAGATCCTGGGAAAGAAGCAAAAACATCTTGTGTTTGGAAATAATGTATTTCTCTTTCTTTCTTAGATCCTCTCTATTTTTTTTCTCTCTCCCTACCCTTGTATTTGGCCGAGAATCTGAGGGCTCAATCACGTGTTAAGGCTCTTAGAACTTGGAGTATTTATATGCTACAACAGAATTCTAAATGTAGGCTCTCCATAGAATAGTTAATTTAGGTTTTGGTCTACCTACACCCAATTCGTGTGAATAATAGTCCATTTCACCGAAGGAATATTATTGAACTTCTCATTTAACCCCGAATTACATAAAATTAAGCTTTATATCAATTCACTCAATATATCTACCCATGTTTTAAGATATACCACCTGTTAATTAATCTAATTACGAACAATTTAATTAATTAACTTCTTGATTCGAAACTATTACCACCCAACCTTTCAATTTTGCCAAAAATTAATCCTCCTGCAGGTTTAGTAGCATAACAACGTTTTGAGCTCATTTCGAGGAGATCATCAACCTAGAGCACCAGGACACAGTGTCCGCAAATAATCAACGATACGCCATATACTCAACATTACTTACCAAAACATTAAAGCTGTTGATTTAATAATATCTTTCATTGGTGAATCAAATAAGCAATAATCAAGTACACATGCCCATTATTACTTTACAAATTAAGAGTGCGAGTACTAATCGAGGTCTAGCTCATTTACTTGATCGGTGTAAAACAAGTTTATCCTCTGTGGTCCGTTTAATACATCATAAATGTATTAGTGTAATTCAATAGTCAAGATCAACCAATTCTAAAAATTACACTAACAGTTCCTGACAATTATTTCAATTTTGCTTGGGTTGTCAACCATATTTATATTTTACAAGGCACTAATATTATGATCTTTTATTCAACATGATAAACATATTATTGTTGGGATCTATGAGGATCTCGTTATGTACAAATCACGAATTCAATAGCAAACGTAAACCTAAGCGCACCGGATCTAAAGGTTTGCGTAGAGAACTTACGGGTTAAAATTTATGGTGATCAGGCTGATCTTCTAGATGGTCGTACATAGCACACCAATGAAAAGTAGACTGCAAATTGCGTCCTAGGGTTGCACAAACAAGATCAGAATGAAAACTGGATCAAATGGGTGCAAAACGGATGAAAACAAGCTTGCAGTCCTGGGA